GACACTGCTTTCTTTAAAATATCTTTCCAAACAAAACAGCAGACTCGTAGCTGAAGCAGTCAGCTCAGTGAAGATCTGAAACATGCAACACGACGACGTGAATCTGGGACTCTTTCACATGCTGAACCCCAGCATTCTAGTTCATTCTAGTAGCATATACTAGTTGAATACGTCAAACTTCAATTAGATTGAGATTTAGTACAAGGTCAAATTTTAAATATCTGAAGGGGCGGCTGTTAAAAATCTCAAGCCTAAAGCTTCACTGAGACTGCAGTAGGTGGAGTCAATCAGTGTAGGGAGGAGTTTGCAGGTGATTTAAGGGCCAGGTGTAGCCGCTTCAACTCTTTGTCTGCTCATGCTGCCACTGCACTCCAGTAAGTTTTTTTGAATTGTTTGTCGATGAATTGTTTAGTTTTTGAGTGAATCTGTAACATAAAATGTATCTTTAATGAAGCTTTGTAGGTTTATGTTCAAAGCAACTAATTCCCGTGTATGGTCAATGTACAGAATAAAAAGGGACACTGAAGCCGACAAATGTTTGTATCAACCTTAAAGACAGCTCAAACTTTGAGTACACCTCTTATTTAAATGTAGAATGTGTAATAATTTATGTTTACAGAATAGGAATTTCGATAAAGGCCCTATTTCCTTGTTTGACCTAATGGATGCATAAATATTGTAAGTTTTTAATTCACCCTCTTCGATTAATTCATGTCTGAAGTTTGTGTGGACCATAATGAATTTCCTTTTGTTTATTGTACAGAAAATCTTCTGTCCACCCCTCTACTTGACCTTGTACCAAATAAATGGTTAAGTGGCTTTGGATCCCTGTGTTTGAATGTTCACACCAACTAGAGGTTCAATGGGCTATAATCAAGACACTCACTGAGACTAATTAAAAATAGTTAGTATTTTTACAATCATTTTAACCAGATTCACCCAACACCGATACAACATCCCAAGGAGGAAGGAGGTGCAACTCCCATTAGTGAAGAATTTGTGCTCCATGGATAGCAATCTGTACAAGCCACGTTACTGTCCCTCGCCCAAGCAGCTGTGCCAGCATGCTTCAAAGCCACCTCCATTGTCCCAGTGCCGAAACACTCCAGCCCGACAGGCCTGAACGACTACCGCCCTGTGGCACTCACACCCATCATAATGAAGTGCTTTGAGCGACTGGTCCTAGCACACCTGAAAAACTGCCTCCCACCCACACTGGACCCATTCCAGTTTGCCTACCGCAGCAATAGGAGTACAGAGGATGCAGTCTCCACTGCGTTGCATTCTGTGCTCACTCATCTGGACAATAACAACACAAACGCACGAATGCTGTTTGTTGATTTTAGCTCAGCATTCAACTTTGTCATCCCCTCCAAGCTGAACACTAAACTCGGAGACCTGGGCTTCAACTCCTCCCTCCGTCACTGGATAATGGACTTTCTGACCAACAGACCCCAGTATGTTAGGTCAGGACACACCTGCTCCACCACCATCACACTCAACACAGGCGTACCACAGGGCTGTGTGCTGAGCCCATTCCTCTACTCCCTCTTCACCCACGACTGCAGACCTGTACATGGATCCAACACCATCATCAAGTTTGCGGACGATACAGCGGTGATTGGCCTCATCAGCAACAACGATGACACGGCCTACAGGGAGGAGGTACAGCATCTGGCCGCCTGGTGTGCTGACAACAACCTGCTCCTCAACACCAGCAAGACGAAGGAGCTCATCGTGGACTTCAGGAGAGAAAGAGGAAGCATGCACAACCCCATTCACATCAACGGGATGGCTGTTGAACGTGTCTCCAGCTTCAAGTTCCTGGGGACCCACATCACAGAGGACCTCTCCTGGTCCACTAACACCTCCAGTCTAGTTAAGAAGGCTCATCAACGACTCTTTTTCCTGAGGACACTGAAGAGACACCACCTGTCTTCAGCTGTACTGATGAACTTCTACCGCTGTGTGATCGAGAGCATCCTGACCAGCAGTGTCTCAGTCTGGTACGGAAACTGCTCTGTCGCAGACCGTAAGGCGCTACAGCGGGTGGTAAAAACCGCCCAGCGCATCACAAGGTGTCCACTTCCTGCCATTGAGGATGTCCAAAGAACACGCTGTCTGCGGCGAGCTCATGGCATCCTTAAAGACTCCTCCCACCCTGCCCACAGACTGTTTACCCTCCTGCCCTCCGGCAGGCGCTTCAGAAGCCTCCGGACCAGAACCAGCAGACTGAGGAACAGCTTTTTCCCCAGAGCTGTTTCTCTACTGAACTCTACCCCCCGAACTCTGAACTCTGTCTCTCTCTCTCTCTCTCTCCCTCTCTCTCCGCCCCTGCTGACCCCCTTTCCCCTCCATATCACCTCACACCCCGAACTCTGAACTCTGTCTCTCTCTCTCTCTCCCTCTCTCTCTCCGCACCCTGCTGACCCCCCTTTCCCCTCCATATCACCTCACACCCATCATCCCCCCACCACTCCTCCTGGTCACACACACACATCTCTCATCCATCTGTATTATTGTATTATAGTATGTTCATATTCTTTAAATTATCTGTAAACTTGTATAACATGCTCACTGCATCTTAATCTGTATATTATTAGTATAGCATGCTCACTGCATCTTATTCTGTATATTATTAGTATAGCATGCTCACTGCACCTTAATCTGTATATTATTAGTATAGCATGCTCACTGCATCTTAATCTGTATATTATAATCCTAAGAACACACTTATTTTGTAGCATTACTTATTTATAGCATTTATTTATATTTATTGCATCCCATTAATCCAGCCATCCAGATTTACCTAATAATTCACTTTTTTTGTCTACATCTGTAAATTTTGCAATTACTGTACATAGCACAGAATTACTGTACATAGCACAGACTCTTGCACTCAATTACTGTACATAGCACAGACTCTTGCACTTTCTGCTTATTTGCACTTCTGGTGAGATGCCAAACCTCATTTCGTTACTCTATACTTGTATATGTGTAATGACAATAAAGTTGAATCTCATCTCATCTCAATCTCATCTCATCTACTGGAGGCTAACTCCAGATAGACTGTAGCCCAGGGACAGTGATGAACAGTGCACTTAATCCTAAATGTTTGGGTGTCTAACCGTAACCCTAAGGGGTACTTTAGTATTAAGCTGAGGCTGCGCTTATAGAGCCTTCCATTGGATCACGGTCCCATCAACATTGAATCCCTCTCCCTTTCCAGTTGATCATGCATCAGGGGAGGAAGTAGTGGGTGCAGTGTTGATTATTAACTCTGTGTCCTTATTGATTCAATGACTCAGTGGTAGTATTTTCTTGTATGATTGACTGAAAAGTGTGTTTTGTTTTAAATGTTGAGAAACACCACTTTGATAATCATGACTGTGTTGAATTGGGCTACTAGGTATTTGGTGCTTATCAGCTCGTTATTAAGCAAGCCCTAATATCAACCACAGCTTTTTTGTAATTATCTGTGCACTACACAGATGGGATGTACCCTCAGACTGCTCAGAGGATAAAGTAGAGTGAACACATGCCAGTGCTTTATATCCTCTTTATATAGAGCATACAGGCTACAGTATTCTCCCACATCACTTCTCAGATCTTCCTCCTCTCTTCTCTGATGAGCAGTAAGAGCATTGGAGTAGTCGGGCCTGCACAGCCTTGACACGGGCCTTCAATCTTATTAAATGATCACAGCTATTATATCATCTGGAGAAATATGTTTCAAGTTATGTAATGAAAAAAATGGAAGCCATATTAAACCATGTATAAATACTTAAAGTCTTTTGTACGGTCACTTGAAAATGATCTGACATAACTATGCAATATCAGTTAAACAAATGTACAATAAAATACTTTATTTATAGTGATCAAAGTACCATTCAGTGAAAACAATGCTGCACACCAATAATGTGTGCTCACATACTCACACAAACTCATTTACACACTCAAGGGTATTGACTGAATTGACATTGATAGGAACATAAATATACTTCAATATAAATACACACTGTACACCTTTCCCTTTAATAAAATTAGAATGGGCTTGTGAGGACTTGGTGTGTTTATCTCTAGAATAAGAAACCACTTTTAGGAGTTTTGGGCCTCAGAACTTTTATGCGCAGCTTGTAAGAATCAGCAGTCATTTGCAAACTAAAACGTTCAACCACTGAATCCTGTCAGATGTCTAAAGCTGGTTTCTTGTATTTGGTAATTACTAGATCTTTCACAATATTAGGTTTCTGTTTGGTTACAAAGTAGGTTTCAACAATGTTTAAGAATAAATAATATAATAGCAACAAAAGGAAAAAGCTCTGACCCACACATTCTTCTAAAATCAAACATGATAGTAAATAAAATATCAGAAAATCTCTTCTTCTGATTAAAATAAAAACACCACAAACCCACCATCCACTGGCTGTCCCAGAGCTAAGATTTAAAACATGGAAGGGTTCAGTATAGTTTAAGCTGATCTGAAAGTATCCATCTCATTAAGGTGAAGTCACAGTGCAAAGTCATCCATGTAGCAGGAGGCTCATTTAGTCTCAGTTCAGAAGGCACAAGCTAAAAGTCATCTGATGCAAGGAGCTGTGAAGTGTGTGTGCCAGGGCCTTTACTTCCAGGAGATTGTGTTTTATTACAAACGTGTCCTATTACTGGGTGTGTCAGTAAATACTCTAACACTGGAGTACTGTGATGTGTTGTAAACTGTATTTAGTTTAAAAACACTTCATTGGATAGGACAGCCGGGAGGAGACATGACATGCAGCACAGGGCTGAGTCCAGACCCGAACCCACGGCCGCTGCCCTGAGGACCACCGCCTCCACACATGGGGCCCGCATCACAACCTCTATAGGCTATCGGCGCCCCAACAAGGCGATTTTTATTCTTTTGCTTGGACTTCACAAAAAGTATGATGAAATTAGATTAAGAAAAAAAAAATACACTGCCATAGAATGGACTGAATGGTAAGCCCACTGCATCATGACAAGAAATCTATCACCACAGTCTGGAAGCCCAACTAATGATCAGAGGCATATTCAAATGAACAAAAAGATGGAGAACAGAGAGACTAATGAGAGATACAAAGATTTACTTCATTATTGCTAAGATAGAAAGTAGACTAACAGTTATGGGTCTGTCTTAAATCCTGTATCACATCTTGAGAAAATCTTTAGCTTTACTGATTTTGTAGGTTTTCCTGACACTGGTTTAAGGTTGCAAGATCATGTCTGAAATTTGAGTCAAAACAATCGATAGACCTGAATGCTTTTTTTTGTACTTTCAAGAAGACATTAACATTAAGCAGAGTTTTACTGCTTTATTTTCTTTGCTGCTCCCCTCAGTTGTCAGTATCTTTTGTTTCCACTGTTGCATTTATACATGTTGTAGTTATGTTACCATGGAAAAGGTCACCATAATGGAACACTCCTCTTCCTCCTGCATGTGATACTCCACGACGCCCCCTTATCTAAACCAAACAGAGTCTTTTGAGTTGAGTGAGCGAGGCCAACAAAAAAAATCACCTGTTGTAAGGTTCATCAGTGAAAAGAAAGTTCCTGAAAGTCCTGAAATAATATAGAAAACGTCAAGAGTTCATGAGTGAAACGGGCTTATGTGTGAATGAAACAAAAGAACTCTAGCAAGTTACATCGCTTTACAGGGTGGTCCATCAAGTTTGGTGGGTTTGACATAGTTTAAAAATACTTTTTTAAAAACCTGTTAAATCAATTTTGTCAGATTTGTAGAAAACTTAGTTCTTATAGAAAATTGATACTTTAAAAAAAAGTGCTTCACTTATTTTCAAATGACTGAAGCTAACAGAAAGCAGTTCCCACTTTTTTAAAAGACACTGTCTTATAGCTAAACCAAACAAACCTGATAATCAAGAATTAAAGTCCTGAAGGAATTCTTTAGTAAAAGTAGGAGTGCCTCAGCTGAGAAATACGAGTGAAATGTTTCCCTCAATGAGCCAAGAACAACAAAATGAATTAACAAACATTTAAACACTCTACCTAATAAGTTTCCTTCACACACCTTCTGATTTACCCTGATGGAGCAGCAGGAGGGTCTTTACCAGCTGCTTGAGGGGGATCTGCATTCTGTCTTTTGTCAGTCCTGGATTGATCCTCCCCATCTCCTCGCCTGTTTTTCTGAGGAGCTGGTCTGTTTTTCACTTCCACAGATTTCTCAATACCATAGCCAAGTGGAGCAGGCGGCTGGTAATGGTAATTGTATCCAAAGGCACGCAGGTGATAGGTGTAGTACTCCATTAAATACATTTGTGAAGCACCAACATAGTGGAATGACACTGAAAGGTCCGAGCAGCAGTTTGGACCCTGAGGGTGGAAAAAACAGAACATGACGTCATGCTACAAAGTACAGACTTCAAAGGGTCACATTTTATTTCACTCCCTAAGGGTTTGAATAATTATCACAGTTTCATGCCTATGAGAGAGTACATAACATAAAGCAAATAGTATCCAGTAGTAGCAGCAGCAGTGTTTCATTATAGTTAACCTTTCACTGTGGTTTAGATTGTGACTAAATTAAGAAGACTAACAAAAAGCTTGAAAAAAAATAAAGTTTTGTAAATTTGAGCGAACAAAAAGCAAACATTATCTGATGAATATATTTACAATATTGCTTGATACCAGTTAAGGGCCTCATCAAAAGAAAACATGATGTTAACTGAACTTGCCTCTGAGATGGGGTGGTAGCAGTAGCTCCAATACCAGAAGCTCTTTGGGAACTTATGTGTCAGGTGCTGCTCAGGGACAAATGGATGAAATCTCTCCCTTTGCATACTGTCTCTGGAGTCCCCAGCCAACACCCCAACTTTCTCCATGCACCGTCCCATTTCAACATCCTCTGTAGAGGAAGCGTGAGTGCACACATTGGTTTTAAATCCTCCTACAAATCTTCGCAGAGCTTCTTTGCTCAACACATAGCCTGCACCACCACTCATGTAGCCCTGCTTTACGTAGGGCTTAAATCTTCGGCCAAAGTAAACTGGTTCCTCGGGTGTGTGGTTGGCGAGAACTAAACGCAGGTTATCTACAATAACATAGGTGTCGTCATCTGCCTTGAGGAACCAATCTGCCTCGTTGATGTGATGCTCGTAGACATAATGGAATGCCTTGATTGTTTTCCAGTACAACTGATCCCGACCCTCCTTCGTGCCTAAGCCCACCGTGGGAAAATCGGGGTCTTCCACAGAACTCATGAAAATCACAATATTACAGTGGCGACTCCAAGTAGACTTCACATGGCGAGTCTTCTTCTCCAGGTTCTTTGGTGCAGTCATCACCCAGCAAAGAATACGGACCTTTTTGTACAGCTCATCAGCCATGCGGCCGTCCTCTCCTGATTTGGGAAAACAGGTGCATAGGAGAGCAACGTGTCCATCAAAAAGTTAAAGGTAAACTTCAGCACATTATCTAACTGGCAAACAAACATTTATTGGCAAAGTTTCGGTACTAGACCTTCATCAGGCAAAAATGTTGTCAAAATGGGCATGTCATCTGAAACAGCAAGTGGCTACAGGCCTGCATCATAATTATGCTCTGAATCATCAAATTAATTGAGAGCACACACACACAAAAATCTTTTGAGCGTTTGATCATCTGCATCGTTTCTGATTTTTTGTTTTGATCTTGGTTTGTCTATTGGGATCTTTATTTTCCCCTGAACTGAATTTAGGGCTTTTGGCAGTTTTTTCAATCTTTTCAGTATAGACCTTCAACTTTTTGCCCGATGAAGGTCTATACCGAAACAGTGTCAATAAATGTTTGTTTGCAAGTTACACAGTGTCCAAGAGTTTACCTTTAAGATAAACATTTGGGGAAAGTGGTCACACTGAATCCTTACAACACACAAACCTACAGAAGCACATTGCATTCACCAAAGAAAATAATTTGACACCTTGTAATTATGAGAAAAGAATGTGTCTATTTTTTTTTTAATTTGGTGAATGCAATGTGCTTCCATACAAACCTAGTTAAAACATGCTCTGAATTATTCAACTTGAACCTCTAAAAGGCTGTTTCCTAATGGCGAATTTTGATCTAGTGGTAATTAAAATTTGGTGAAAGATGTGGTCACACTGAATCCTTACAACAACACACAAACCTAGTAAAGGTTATACTCTGAAGAATTAAACGTGAACATCTATAAGGATCAGCTTCTATATGGTTTACCTGGATGATGAGGATGCTCCAGATTGAAAAGGGCAGACCCTTCCTTTCTCCATTTCTTAATTTCTTTCTCGAGCTGTTCTTGGTCATCGCTGACTTTGTTCAGGTTTGTTCCATGCTGTGATAACAAAGTGCTCTCAAACCGCACCTGCCGCAGGAAAACATACAGCGTGATGGTTCCCACCAGGAAACCAGCGTAGAAGGAGAATTGGTATTTGGGGGCTTTCATGCTGCACCAGATGCCTCGCTGTGGGTCATTTCAACTCGACTGCAGCTGAAAAAGACAGGAGAGACAGAACGCAGAAGAAAAGAGTTTAATTGAAGGAGCCCCAGAGAGGAGCTGTAGACTACACATCCCATTACTGTGCCTATGTTACATGTGTGACATTTAATTGAAGGTGTGGTTAGAGCAAATGGAAATGCTGGTCAAACTATCTTGATGGTATAAAAAACAATAATTATAATGTCATAATTCAACTATTTGCCCCTTGTATAAGTAGAGCTGTTGGGATAACTGTTATTGAATGGATACATTGCTTGCGTAAAATTTAGACTTAAAAAGTTTTAGTCTTAATTATATTTGATTTAATTAATTTTAAACTGTAAATGGGCCATGTATAATATAAAAAATATACACTATTTTTACCATTTGATGTATTGTATCGGAGTTAGCTTGCAGTATATGAATATTTAAATTCAGTGCGACGTTAGGGTTTGTCTTTATGTGGAAAGTTAATATATATTTAATCATTTACTGTAGATCACTAAGAACGAGGAAATCACATTATCATTTTATTATATGCACACAAAAGTCCACAATGTCAAATCAGTTGTTAGACAGCAAATCAGTTCTTAAATTATTTCTCTTAAGTGATCTATTTGAGCCACTGCAGTCAGGTATTTTGAGTTAATCACTTCACAGTAACTGCACTTACAAAGGTGGTGAGTTATTTGTTATTGGCTGTAGACTCAGACTCAACTTCAGTTTATTGTTGTTGGATCTTAGTGCTGTTTTTGATACAGTGGACCACTATATATCATTGGACAGACTTGAGAACTATTGTGGCATCTCAGGTCATGTGAAATATTTAATGATGATCAGATGTGAACTACATATCTCAAATTCTTTACAATGATGAAGATGTGCATTTTGAATAGGCATAACCCGACTTGTGGGTCATGGCACAGGACGGAAGGAGTCAGAAGTTATCAAAGAAAATTATTAATTTATGATAAAACAAGTTAAATTAATGCTCAATAACAAAGAGTTATGAGGTGTGTTTAATCTGTATCATCAGTGTGGATGTGAAAGCAGAGTGCACTTACATCAAGAACTAAAGCAACAACAAGCTTCAGTCGGGCTGACAGACAGCAGCAAGCCAAAGTCTCCCAGTGGCCAGTTGGCAAGGTCGTCACTGAATGTAAATAAGTTGTGTAGAGTGCATTAAAAAAGTATCAAAATTAATGTTGATAATCCACAAGATTCTCTGTGAGCAAATGTACCTCCTTTCAGGCTTTGTAAGAGCTGTTATGTGTAACTCCCTATTTAAAGTGTCTATCATATTGAGACTCTCTCTCCACCCAGCTCTGCATTTAAAGGTGTGGTTATAGAGCAAATAAAGAAGGCGGTGCAGCTCACATTAATTAGTAGCCCAAGGTGGAGCCACTCCAGCAAACAGCTGGCTTGGTTTTAAATTACTGCCACCTCTACGATCTGTGAGCCCGGACTAAAGAGACTGATAGTATGGTATGTTGTTGAAGATTTACAACTTGTCCAACACTGCTGTTGATAATTCTGTGAACAGGAATATCTGCCTCTATTCTCTCTCCCAAGAAGAAACAATAAAGCTCAATCTCAATGCTTTTTGAAACGTGCCATGGCGAGTCAGTGAGATTGCGCATTCGTGTCACACATAAGATATAGATTGTTATTATTATTATTATTAATATTATTAAGAATATATTATCTTGCCATGCCTCAGGTCCTGTTTTCGACCTGTTTCGGGCAGATGAGGGTTGGCTGCACTGAACTTTGAGGTTGAGCTCAACATGTTATTGTAAAAGGTACACTGATCTAAACTTGTATTTTTGTTTTGTTTGTTTGTGCACGTGGCAGCGCAGCATTTAATGCTGTAATATCGTTCTTTTTAGATGATTTGCCACTTGTTAGGTGTTTTATTTACCTTTCCCTCTTTTGTTTTCCTTAGCCTTATTCAGCCTTATTTAAATCTTTTGCATTGTTTGGGCAACATTTGTTTTCATTCAAAATGTACTTATTTAGCTTATTTCCCTTTTGTCCCCCTACTCCTGATTGCATCGGCTAGGTGGTGTGTGTGTGTGTGTGTGTGTGTGTGTGTGTGTGTGTGTGTGTGTGTGTGTGTGTGTGTGTGTGTGTGTGTGTGTGTGTGTGTGTGTGTGTGTGTGTGTGTGTGTGTGTGTGTGTGTGTGTGTGTGTGTGTGTGTGTGTGTGTACACCAGGTCGGGGATACATGTGTGATGTTTGGCTCCTGTTTCCTCTCTCTCCCTTCACTATTGGACAGGTAAAACGCTGGTCCGACACACATAATATTGGTGGCTAGGGAGAGATTAAAAATGTGCATTAGAGGTGTAGCAATAAAATCTAATGCTAACTTTAAAGATTTACTTTATTGATCCCCCATTGGGGTAAATTTCTTTGTTACAACAGCTCAAAAACAGTAGTATAATTAGTAAAAATAGCAAAAAGTTGAAAAACAAATATATTTTCATTAATTAAATAAAGCAAGAAATGATAATAGAGACTAGGCATATACTATAAACACTTTCACTTGTGGAAAGACAGAGGACAGTTCTTATTAAAAGACACACACAGTGTGTAGAATTACTGATTGTGATTGTGAACATTATTAGAGTCAGGTGGTAGTACTGTTGAACAGTCTGACTGCAGATGATATGAGCGACCTGCGGTAGCGCTCAGTCTTGCAGGGTGGGTGTCTGAGTCTGCTGCTGAAGGAGCTGCTCAGAGCCCCCACAGTGTCATGCAGGGGGTGAGAGGGGTTGTCCATGATGGATGTCAGCTTCACTAACATCCTCCTCTCACCCACCTCCTCTACAGAGTCCAGAGGACAGTCCAAGACAGAACTGGCCCTCCTGACCAGTCTGTTCAGTCTCTTCTTGTCTCTCTCTGTGCTCCCTCCTCTCCAGCAGACCACTGCATAGAAAAGTGCAGATGCCACCACAGTGTCATAAAAAGTCTGTATCAGAGTCCTGCACACTCCAAAGGACCTCAGTCGCCTCAGCAGGTGAAGTCGACTTTGGACTTTCTTGTACAGGACGTCTGTGTTGTGTGACCAGTCCAGTTTATTGTTGAGGTGAACACCCAGGTATTTGTATGTCTCCACCATCTCAGTGTCCAAGCCCTGGATGTTCACCGGTGCAGTCTGGGGTGAGTCCTGCGGAAGTCAATCACCATCTCCTTTGTCTTGCTGGCGTTGAGCTGAAGGTGGTTGAGCTCACTCCAGTCGACAAAGTCCATGATGACCTGCCTGTACTCCTGTTCGCTCCCCTTAGACACACACCCCACGATGGCTGTGTCATCTGAGAACTTCTGCATGTGGCAGCTCCCAGAGTTGTAACTGAAGTCTGAGTTATACAGGGTGAAGAGAACAGGGGAGAGAACTGTCCCCTGCGGGACACTTTCAAAATTATGGTTCCAATTTATCATGGCCTGCAGATTTTGTTGTGTCCAGGAGCCTAAGGGCTTTGGGTACATCAGATACTGTGATAGGAATCAAATTAAAAGACTGACTTGATGGAACTTCAGACACTACAGAATTTGACGTCAATTGAGTGGGGTTCAAGGACTCAAATAAATAACCAGAAGCTGTAAAATGTTCACTAAAACAACCAAGCATTTCAGTCTGTCACAGATTGTTTGGGAGCCAGTGACAATGCATGGAGGAAGCTCTAAGATTTTATTGTTTTCAGATAAAGATCTGATAGAGTTCCAAAATTTGGATGGATTATTTTGATTTTTTGAGGTTTGCGAAAGGACATGTTCGGCTTTGGCTTTTTTGATTTTCATTGTTCATGCATTGCGCAATCGCCTGAAGATCAGCCAGTCAGGGTTTTGGTTTGTTTTTCTGGCTCATGCCTATGCAAGGTTACGCTCATGTAGCAGAGTAGACAAATCCGGAGTGACCCATGCATTGCTCCGACATTTGACTCTGTAGCTCTTAAGAGCTTATTCACAATATTGTTAAAACCCTCATAAAAGAAGTTCCAGGCAATCTCAACATCCGTAAAGAGATATATTTTTACCCAACCAAAGTGAAATAAGTCATGGAAGAACCCCTGTTCCGAGAAATGTTTCATGTAACATTTAACTATGACGCACGGCCTGGTTTTAGCTATTTTAGTATTCCTAACAGTTGCAACTACACCGTGGTCACTGATGTCATTTGCAAATATTGAGGCAGTGGTGTATTTATGAGGGGCATTTGTGATCATTTTCTTGTATTATTGACTGAAAAAACAGATTGACATTTGTTTTAAATGTTGAAAAACACCACTTTGATAATCATGACTGTGTTGAATTGGGCTACTAGGTATTTGGTGCTTATCAGTTCATGTTATCATTTAGCTAGGCCTAATATCAATCACAGATTTTTTTGTAATTATCTGTGCACTACACAGATGGGATGTACCCTCAGACTGCTCAGAGGATGAAGTAGAGTGAACACATGCCAGTGCTTTATATCCTCTTTATATAGAGCATACAGGCTACAGTATTCTCCCACATCACTTCTCAGATCTTCCTCCTCTCTTCTCTGATGAGCAGTAAGAGCTTTGGAGTAGTCGGGCCTGCACAGCCTTGACACGGGCCTTCAATCTTATTAAATGATCACAGCTGTTATATCATCTAGAGAAATATGTTTCAAGTTATGTAATGAAAAAATGGAAGCCATATTAAACCATGTATAAATACTTACAAAGTCTTTTGTACGGTCACTTGAAAATGTTCTGACATAACTATGCAATATCAGTTAAACAAATTTAAAACAAATGTACAATAAAATACTTTATTTATAGTGATCAAAGTACCATTCAGTGAAAACAATGCTGCACACCAATAATGTGTGCTCACATACTCACACAAACTCATTTACACACTCAAGGGTATTGACTGAATTGACATTGATAGGAACATAAATATACTTCAATATAAATACACACTGTACACCTTTCCCTTTAATAAAATTAGAATGGGCTTGTGAGGACTTGGTGTGTTTATCTCTAGAATAAGAAACCACTTTTAGGAGTTTTGGGCCTCAGAACTTTTATGCGCAGCTTGTAAGAATCAGCAGTCATTTGCAAACTAAAACGTTCAACCACTGAATCCTGTCAGATGTCTAAAGCTGGTTTCTTGTATTTGGTAATTACTAGATCTTTCACAATATTAGTTCTCTGTTTGGTTACAAAGTAGGTTTCAACAATGTTTAAGTATACATAATATAATAGCAACAAAAGAAAAAGCTCTGACCCACACATTCTTCTAAAATCAAACATGATAGTAAATAAAATATCAGAAAATCTCTTCTTCTGATTAAAATAAAAACACCACAAACCCACTATCCACTGGCTGTCCCAGAGCTAAGATTTAAAACATGGAAGGGTTCAGTATAGTTTAAGCTGATCTGAAAGCATCCATCTCATTAAGGTGAAGTCACAGTGCAAAGTCATCCATGTAGCAGGAGGCTCATTTAGTCTCAGTTCAGAAGGCACAAGCTAAAAGTCATCTGATGCAGGGAGCTGTGAAGTGTGTGTGCCAGGGCCTTTACTTCCAGGAGATTGTGTTTTATTACAAACGTGTCCTATTACTGGGTGTGTCAGTAAATACTCTAACACTGGAGTACTGTGATGTGTTGTAAACTGTATTTAGTTTCAAAACACTTAAAAGCACAGGGCCGAGTCCAGCTGCCGCTGCCCTGAGGACCACCGCCTCCACACATGGGGCCCGCATCACAACCTCTATAGGCTATCAGCGCCCCAACAAGGCGATTTTTATTCTTTTGCTTGGACTTCACAAAAAGCATGATAAAATTAGATAAAAGAAATGGAATATACTGCCTTGCATAGAATGGACTGAATGGTAAGCCCCCTGCATCATGACAAGAAATCTATCACCACAGTCTGGAATTAATAAGCCCTACTAATGATCAGAGGCATATTCAAATGAACAAAAAGATGGAGAACAGAGAGACTAATGAGAGATACAAAGATTCACTTCATTATTGCCAAGATAGAAAGTAGACTAACAGTTATGGGTCTGTCTTAAATCCTGTATCACATCTTGAGAAAATCTTTGGCTTAAATGATCTTGTAGGTTTTAAGGATAAATGTTAAGTTAAATGTATTAATAACATTTCCTATTCTCCTGGCACTGGTTTAAGGCTGCAAGATCATGTCTTAAATTTAGAGTCAGAACAATCGTTAGATTTGAATGCTTTTTTTGTACTTTCAGAAAAAAACATTAATTCAATTGGTGTGTTCAAATAGTTTGACAAATACTCAGGACAGGAAGCAACAGAAGCCAAACATGACATAGGACATGGCCGAATGCAACAGTGAACTCGTAGTGTTTGACTAGTATTAGAAATACTAGTTATTTGGGTTTTAGGAAGTCCTACCAGGGTTTTTTTTAGACATTTCTATCAATTTTTAACTCATGGAGAAATTATTAGTTGATGAATTAGTAAAGAAAAAATAATCTGCAGCTGAATTTGTTCTGAAATCTGGTAATGAAAACGTATAACTCTAAAAATCTGAAAAGATTGCTTACGTATAAGATTCTTGATTTTAAAAAGAAAAATCTCAGAGCAATCACAGCAAACAACAAATAAAGAAGGATTTATTCTTGAACTGTATATTGACTTTGAAATGACACTAGCCTGCATCAGGATATTCCTTTTAAACTCTGCACTAATCCTGTTTGGAAGAGGCGATCAGAGACAGACCAACAGGTTAAGCAGTGTGCACATGACAAGTGTTGACTTATTGCACAAGTTGAGGCACTTTGACTTAGAATGATCTAATTCAGAAAAAAAAAACCTCCAGATCAGAGATCCAGCTGTATCTTGGCTGTTTTAATCCAACAGTTTTTAATCACCTCAATGTAAATAAACTGGGTCTCATTGTCCTATGAGGCACATAGTTGTCCATATCCACTTTCACAACAGCAATGCACACCTCACAGTTTCCCCATGTTGTCCAGGTGGGGCAAATGTATGAACTCTAATGGTTAAATCTATTCACTTCCACTTTATCCTTCCGGCCCACTAGAAAAATAACACTGTAGCAATAAATGTGTATATAGTCTGTGTGA